TAGGGTTTAGGGGTTGTTCGGGTTTAGGGTTTTGGTTTAGGATGGTGTGTAGTGATCTAGTGGGATTGTAGGGTTAGAGCTTTAGGGGTTTGAGGTTGCAAGCAGGGTTCTGTGGTAGAGGGGTTTCTACAAAGACTCTATGAGGGCTATATTATTACAGTAAGGGTTCTCTTCATTGGGTTTAAAGCGCCTCTTTTTGCTGATTCTTTAAACAGGGCTTCTGAGGCTTGTAAACAGGATTACAAGGGTTTTAGTAGCCTTCTGCGCGGCTTCAATATATGCATGGGTTCTGTACGAAGGTCGTACAACAAGGGGTCATAGCTTCGTAGTAGGTGGGGTTTATGAGTCTATGAGGGTCAGGGAGCAGGGTTTGCTATTTCGGGCTTGGAGGTAAATCTCTAAGTTAACGTTTTACAGCTTTGCCTCAATGCTTCAATCGCGCCACTCTGTGGCACGCCGTGGCATTCAGCCACTCGGTCGTGCAGGCCAAATGCTGTTGATGGACGACCTAAACCCCAAACTCCCTAAACATCCCTAAGCCCCTGTTTGGAGAGTATTGCATGGGCCTGAAGAATTTGCAGTAGTATCCGTATGGTTCGTTTAAGCCCAATTTCATACCTCCGGTACACCCAACCCCGACATCAGTTCCGAAGTCTCCGAGCGTCAGATGCTGGAGAAAAGATGATGTCCGTACTCAAGGGGGGCCAAGCGTGGGATGGGGGTAGGTGGGGATAATGCCAAATAAGAGATCTGATATAAGGGGTCCTCGATCTACCTGTTGAGGCTTCCAATCTACAGCATCGGTAGGCGATGTCCTTCTAGTACATATGGTTTGGGGAAGTAGAGTGATCCAGACCCTAATTTCCCTGCCACCTGGATCCTGTCTTTTCTGAGCTCCGGAGTGGGCGTCGTCTAAACACGGAACTTTGCATCCGAAGTAGACGATTCCTCCCAGGATCCGGCCCTGGAGCCCCCAACAAACAGCACCCGAAACAACAGCGACAGTAGCGTTGTGATCAACCCCCCCCCCCCCCCCCCCNNCACCCCCCCCCCCCCCCATGCGCCAGCAACCCCCTGATACGGAAACACTGGGCCCCGTCCATACCTTCAATAGCCCCTTCTGGTAACTGTCCTTGCACAGGATATTTACCCAAGCTATGTATCACCAAAAACCGCTACCAGAAGACCCAAGCCGTACAGAATAGAATGCTCCGACGCCGTAACAGTATCGTAGCATAGCCCACATGGCACAACTGCAATAAAGTCCGAAATTCAAATTCTGCCAAAGTCCGTTCTGACCGTCTAAACCCCGGCACCCAAGACTAGAACCACCCCTTGCCGTATGTGTATGTGTATGTATACATACANNATACATATGTGTATTTATATATATATATATATCCATGTTGTTTACAACTCCCTGCCCCCCTCCCAGCCGCAAACCCCTTAAAGCCCTAAGCCAGAATTTTATCCTGAAGCATTGCAGCTGGAACGTATCACTGCATTCTGGGCTTTCAGCTCCAGCTTTGGGTTTCGGGTTTGGGGTTCAGGGGTTTAGGGTTTAGGGGTTCAGGGTTCAAGGGTTCAGGGAGTTTAGGGTTTAGGGGATCAGGGTTTAATCCCAGCACAGTCCAAGAGTAGCAATTGAAGATCCTTGGATGCGAGGACTGCCCTCCAACTCAGATTGTCAGAGCCCCTAATTTTAATATAGGGCCCAAAATAATTATCTACAGTATTTTAGGGGTTCATTATTATAGTTATAGTATCATGGGCCAAAACCCTATTCTAGTTCTCAAGGCCCCTACATTACCGGGTTTAGGATTTAGTGATTAATGGTTCAGGACTGACGTGGTTTTACACTAGGATGTTGCTCAGGCAACTTGTACGTGAATCGAACGCACATCGTGGCCGCTTGGCTTGTCCAGAAAATCTGGGGTTAAGTGTCCACGCTCTGCACGATACCAGTCGGTACAGCAGAACCAAGCCCTGTAGGGTGTTTGGCATGGAGCCCGAAGCCATTCTCCTCGGGTGTTACAAGCGAAATGCGCACCCCTACCCTGGAATGTCCGACGGACCCCGTCATTGCGCATCAGGTTCAGGATAGAGGTTTGTCATTGCGCATCAGCTTCAGGTTAGAGGTTTGTGTGTTTTGAGGAGCATGTGAGTATGCAGCCCTAAACCCCAAACCCTCAACCTCTAAACCCTAAACTTAGGCCCTAAACCCTAAATCTTTAAACCCTAAACCCTAAACAGTATGCAGTATGAGGTTGCCTGAAACTTGACAGGCCAGACCTGAGCACTTAGCATTCCCAAGGGTGGCTCGAGGCCTGCAGAGTTAAGCGTCGAAGCCAGAGAGTTGCAGCATCACGGTCCCAATGCTCTTATATGTACCCTATAAACCCTAAACCCTAAACCCTATAAACCCTAAACCCTAAACCCTAAACCCTATAAACCCTAAACCCTAAGCCCAAGGCCATGCCTCCACCAACATGGTATTTTGGACACCTTTCAGGCAGAGGGAGAAGAGGTGACAAAAGCAAATCCTTGGGTTTAGGGCTTAGGGACTCGGGCTTCTATAAGGCTTCTATAAGGTATATAAACCTTCTATAAGGCTCCTATAACGGTACATGGGCCCCATAGTAGTTCCTTTTTGTGGTTTGTGTTTAGGATCCTATTCGGTAATCCCAAAAAGGAACTACTCTGGGGCCTAGGGCTTAGGGACTTATGGGTTCTAAGGAAGCGCCCGAACCAAGCATCCTCCATCCATGTTTCAGCTTTCTGGACAATCCTAAACTCTAAACCCTAAATGTTAACTCCTATAACCTAAATCCTACACCCCGAAATCCTATAAACCCTAAACCCTAAACCCCTACGCGCTAAATCTTAAACCCTAGACCAGCCCCAACGCCTGCAGCCAAACACGAGCTTATTTGGTGTAATCTACGCTTTTCGGACCGAAGGCTGCAGATTATGGATTTAGGGGTTTTGGGGTTTAAGGTTTTAAGGTTTTAAGGTTTAAGGATTTAGGGTTTAGGGGTTAAGGCTTTAGGGTTTTAGGGTTTTGGGTTTTGGGGTTTAGGGTTTTGGGGTTTAGGGTTTAGGGGTTTGGGGTTTTGGGGTTTGGGGTTTAGGGTTTAGGGGTTAAGGTTTTAGGGTTTTGGGGTTT